TGTGTGCTTCTGACCGGCTGTTGACTGCAAGGCACATACCGTCCGCGCCTCACCACACACCTCAAAGAGCAGAAAAATAAATGCATGACAGTACAAGCCTAACTTTGACAAGCAAATTACGAACAATGCCGTCCACCGCGCTTCCGATCTGAAGTCGAATCAGACAGCACGTGGTCTGTGCGCTCACTGTCGCTGCCCGGTCGGCCAATGCCTGCTTTTGTCCGCTCGGCGGGCCGGGTCTAATCGCTCAATTCGCCTTCGGCGTTTCACCATTCGTCCGCGTGCGCAAGCCGCTAGATTCATCTTGGAAGATGACGACTGACTTCCTGCTCGTCGTTTAGAGGCCATGGTCGAAACACACTTCTGCGTGATGGGTTTGCGGCGAACATAAGGGCCAAGAGAATGTCTGCTTCTGCACAGCGATCTGTCTACAAGATGAGGGTTTGTCGCGAATGCGCGTCAAAGACGGCCTGACTGCCAGCCTGCCAGCTGAAGACTGCCCGACTGCCAGACCATGGCCTACTAACATTCCCGCACCAATTAAACATGTTTCCGTCACTGAATATCGCCGTGAGCTGCCCACTGCCTAATGAGATCTCTCTGGAGAAGGTCAAGACCTGGATTTATAGGCTCGGCGGGAGCTACCATGAGCAGGTTCACGAAACGACGCATCTCTTGTGTTCTACGAACCACCGCATTCGATATTTGCACGAGGATGCCTTCCGAGCCATGCAGCTGCGGGCGGCTATCGTTCCTTTTGAATGGCTCCAAGGATCATACGACCAAGGCAAGTTTCTGCCCGTGTCACATTATCTTTTGAGTACGCGGCGGAATCCAAAATATGCTCCGCTCACAGGCTGCGTCATCGCGTTCACGAGCAGCTTCCCTTTGCCCAAAGGCAGTGAGAGCTACGACAGCGTGCGCAACGCCATTGTCAGGCTAGGCGGTACTCACAGGACTGATATACGGCCAAATATCTTGACGCACTTCTGCATCACAGAGAAAGAACTCGATCGGTCTGGCCCTCTCGTCGAGCGGGTCGTCAGGCATGCTCTGCGGCCCGATCGGGAACCTCTCTGGATAGTCAGTTGTCAGTGGTTGACCGAATGTATAGAGCAACACGACCGGGTTGACGAAGGCTGGTATACGTTCTCGAGGAATAGTTCTGGTGGGGGCACAGATCACCCCGGCGGTGAGGTCATGTCGAAGGATGTGGAGAGCGAGGAGTCGACATAGTATGGCGAGAGGGTCAGTAGTCATAGCGCAAGAAGCTTCATTTGGCATCTCTCCTTGATGCAGTTGTCTAACGATGCTGCCTACCGTGACCATCCTGGTTGTTTGTCGTTGTCTTGCCGTCCTGTGGCCGTTCCCCATCGGGGCATATTAACATGCCAGCCAGCTGCAGAGAAACGAGCATGCAAAGGAACCCACGGCACAGACTCGGCACAGACTCAATGGGTGCTGCTCCTTGGTAGCTTCTGTCCAGCAAATTGATGATCCCTGTGAAGGAGAGAGTGTTTTTTTTTTGATGGATGTGGATATCAGTTCAACTGCTTACGCGCCAACATGAAGTTAGGACCATCCCGGACACTCAGCAGCATGCGAACAACGAACAGGTATTGCATACATGTCAGACGACGAAGATGACGAAGAATGCGCAAGGAAATACAGCGAGTCTTGTGGTCGTCGTCCATACAGAGCTATACGTCTCTGCCCTGTGACGCTTCACCAGATAACGCGCACTTCTGGTGACCTTCGCCCAGAAATACAGAGTTCAGCCCAATACCAAACTTAGCCGAATACTAAGCTAAGCCGAATATCAAGCTTAGCCGAATACCAAGTTCAGCGTCCGCACGGGACTACAAGAGATTGCTGGCGGGTGCCCAGGCCCGTATGATCCGTTACTCCGTCAGGCTTCCACTCAACAGCTCGATAGCCTCATAATCAAACGGATGACTTTCCCCAACGGCGAGCAGCAGGTCGTGTGCCATCTCGCGACTGATCGCCAGCCTCTTTCCGCGAATCTCGTCCCGGCCGCAGAAAACCTCTCGATCTGCGTGCCAAGACAGCCGGACAGCATAGCTGGCGGCGCCGCCCGGGCGGACGTCCATCCAGCACGGTGTCTCCGTGATACTTCCGGGTTCAAGCTCGACCCTTTCCAGGCCGGCGTCGGACACCCAGACATGACTTCTTCGCTGAGGTGTGAACACGAGCTTCTTGCTGTTCCTTTGGAAGGTAGCTGCCGATGCCAGGAAAAACTCTTCACCGGCTCTGCGCTGCTGTGGCGTGCGTTGTCGGTTCGACGAGCGTCGTCGTTTTTTGCATGCTCCCTGCCGTTCTTGAACTGACCCCCTGCCCGGTTTCCTTTGCTGCGTCTTTGGTTGCGGCTTCCCTCCCATCTTTTGTCCCACGCACTGACTCGCCGCTGCGGGCGGGTCGTGTTGCCGCGCCTCACGGGGCCTTCCATGGCTCCGTAGTGGTCGCCTTGCTTGAGTCGCTAGGGGCGGTGGTGGGGACGGCGGCCGCCGCCGCAGAGATGACGGCAACGACAATGATGCGCGGCCATCGTTGGATAGAGGGGCGGCACAACCGTTACAGAGCAGACCTCGATCGGCTGACGTCGCCGGCGTGCTGACTAGTGATGTTGGCGAGACAGACGAGCCCGAGGCCTGCTCAGCGCGTCGCCTTGCGTCAAGCTCGTCAAACGCATCCTCTAGGGACGCTGCGTCCAAGGGCTCCATGTCCAGATCCAGAGTCCTTTCGGCAAGGCAGACATCAGGCGGAGTGAGTTCTGTGCTTGGTGGTGTCGAACAGTCCAGCTGCGTAGTGTCCACGATGTCCCAGCTGCGCTGCTGTAATACTGGCGCGTCGTATCCATCGCTGCTGCACAGGCAAATGCCGCTGACAGCGTATGCCGCAGCGAATGCCGCATCGCTGTAAGCACCGCATTGCATGGAGTCCGTCAGGCCGAAAGGAGTCTCATGTGTGGTGAGGCTGGCCCACGATGCGTCATGCAACGCCTGGGCCGCAGACAATATCGTGTCCCCCTCATAACATGCCTGCGAGTCTTGCGTCTCGTTGTCCAGGATGATGCTTGGCGAAAGATATTCTTGAGGAGGTTCGGCGGCGTTCCCAGCGTTCCCAGCGTCTCCAGCATCGTGCATCTGAATCAAGGCTGCCGCGGCAAATCGTTTTGCTTCGGCCGTACATTCTCCCAGCGGACCGGCGGGCACGCCCATATCCAGGGAGGCAGGGTGTAGAGTCGGCGGTAGAGTAGCCATGTGGTAGAAGGACTAGAGAAATGATATGGACGGACCTGAGCCACCACAAAGCAAGGGGTGGTTGAAAGAGGGAAGAGATGTTGCGAGGCCTTTGTGCAGGGTATAACTGAGGGACTTTTGTATAGATATGTAGGTAAGCAGAGATGACGGGCGCGATGAAGACGGCAAACCGGGTGGAACGAGTCCCAATTTATACTGTTTGCTTGCCACTGGCCATATAGTCGCGCACAGTCTCGCGTAGTCCCTCAACACAACCAAGGCATGCGCATCGATGTGGAAAAACAAGGAACGTGTAACAAGGAACGTGTAGACGGCGTGTAGTCCAGACCCTATAGACCATGGCGTGCTGGCCACCTGCGTGAGGGATCGTCTGGCATGGCGCAGAGCGAGGGCTGGGGTCAAGGAGCACGAGACGTCAGCACGGCATCTCTCGAGGAGCACGAGACGCAAGCACGGCATCTCCCAAGGCACTCGTGCGGAGTAGCCAGGCCGCGACCTGGATGATGATTCGAGGGTTGGTGCGATGTGGCCATGTTGTGACGTATCTCGGCAAGGAGCATCGTCGGAACGCAGAGGAAGGCGGCAGAGGCTCGGCGCCAGCACAGGTCAAGGCAGAAGTGGCGAGGCCGACTCGGACGGATCACACCAGTCCCGCACGACAGGTCAAAGGGCATGATCGAGTTTGTCGTCTATTCCTTGTGGCTCGTTGGCCTAGGCGGAAGCAGAAGCGGCTTCACAGAAGCGGCGTCATGGAAGCGGCGTCAAGGAAGCGGCATCACTATCCCCATACATCCCCCCTTTTCCTGACTTTTCCACTTGTCACCCTTCCACCCCCCCCCCCCGTTACCTCCCATAGCCCTCCACACTCAGCCAATTAGTGCCGCTACCGTCCTACGGCGCACGTTGGACGATCCATCGGGGACGTAGCCGTCTCTCGAATCAAGTCGCGACGCATCTAGGCCTGGCCATAATTTCCAGCTGTGCCACCATGTGAGGCTGCCAGCCGTGGCTGCCGGCCGGTCCGGAGGCCAAGTGGCACATGTATGTATATGAAAGGACTTGGTATCCTTTTGCAGTGCATGCCTGTTACCAGGATGGTTCCCCTACCTATTCTTCCCTCTAGAGCTCTTCTTCGCCCACACGGTCTTCACCCACTAGCACACCGCTGACCATACCATTCATGGCGAAGATGACACACATGGCATCCGCTATGACCAGCATGACACCCAATGGCTCCCGCAAGCTCACTTCTGACGGCACCGTCGTCCAACACGGGTCTTTATGTCGCCTCCCTCCCGAGCTCCTCAACGGAATCATCAGCCGCTGTGGCCCAACGTCCACGTCGGCGCTCCTACGAAGCTGCAAGCAGCTGCTAGATGCCTATACCCCCTTTTTATAGGCATACGACGTTCGATACTCGCGTGCCTCGTCCACCGTCTGGGCAGCGCGTTGCCAAGAAGACGATGTCGCCATTTCGGTCCTGAACAAGGCTATCGTGGCAGGCGCGGATTTACGAAAGCAACATCAGATTTCCTCGAGGAATTCGAACACCTACGCCTACCGCAAATGGTCTACCGGGATCGCTTTTTCTCGGCGCAATCTCAACTGAGGGACATGTATCCTGAATCTGCTGCAATCTCTTGCCTCGAACTTCTCGTCGAAGAGGGTCGAGATACCGTGGTTCTCCACTTGCTGCAGCATGGTTTTCATCCACACCATATGCTGACGTCTCGCATCCTGAACCTCGTTTCCGGCACCCACGGCTCTTCGCCGCATCTGACCGACATCAACCCCCTCCATATTTCGGCGGCCATGGGCCTACAGAAGGTGGCTGCCCTTTTGATTGGCCAGCATGGCACTCACGTCGACTTCAGAGACAGCTGCGGCTACACGCCGTTGTCGTACGCCATACGCTCGCCGTTCGCCGATGACGAGATGATATCTGAGCTGATCCTCTGTGGTGCCGACCTCATGCAGGAGGTGCCACATGGCGGCATACAAGTGTCTATTCTGGAGTACGCCTGCCATGCCGGCCGGTTCACCGCTGCTCTTCACATCCTCGACGCGCTCGAGTTATCTGACGTGCCTTTCGCTTACGACCCAGCTCTTCGGGTTACTATACCAATGCCCTGCTTTCAAACGAAAGGCCAGACTTCGCATACCAAAAAGATCCTGGTCAGCAAGCTCTTGGGACGTGGAGCGAACCCAAACGCGATCGTTCGTTCTTCCGGAGCCCCTCTCTTGACGCATCTGGTTCGGAACCATCCCACGGCCGTCGACTTTCTCCTGGCCCTGCCAGGCGTCCTCGTTGATACACCCGATGAAAGCGGCCACACTGCTTTGGCCTATGCTCTATCACCTAGAACGCAACCTTCGCCGGTGTATCTGAAGGTCGCTGTGTCTCTTCTAGCTCACAAGGCGACCTTGACGACGACTATGACAAAGTGGATTTTGGACGGCACACGTTGCATAAGCACCATGCGACACATGAAAAAAACGCTCGAGAGAGGACCACGTCTACTAGATTTCTTCCGACTTATCTATGGCCATTGCATCGAGGTTCCCCAGTGGCAGCGCACCCATGCCCAGCAGTATTTTCTAGCCGAGGCGCCCGAATGGACTGTTCATCTGACCTGCAGAAAGAAGAGCAAAGCACTATGGACATGGAGAGTGGTGGAAAGCAAGGTGAACAAGTATTTTGATCTCAAGATAGTGCCTAGAGGCTCCGCAATGTCTCTCGCTACTCCGGTGCAATATCTGGAACCCTCCGACGACGAGGCGCCGACGGCAGGTGAGGGGGAGGCGCCTACCCAGCTGCAGATACCAGAATCACTCCATCTGTCTCCCGGATTGCCTCTCTAGGTGGGATCGTATCGTGGCGATTGGCCACATGCTTCTCCCCGACACACCGTCGATTGAATTCCTTCCCGCATTGGATGCAGACGAAGCGGGCCTGGGGAGGACGATATATGAAGCTGGCATCTGTCACGGTCCCCGCATCGCCCCGACTCTGGCCACGAAGGTTATGCTGGTCGATCGAGGGCAGACCAAGAGAAGGAGACCGGTCGGAAGACTGATCGGAAGACTGGTCAGGAGACCGATTGGAAGGAGGAAGCCGGCCAGTGCGGCCACCAAAGGTGCCATGCTGAATCCAGGGAAGACCGCGCGATGGGCGTGCTCGGGCGGGTGCGTGGCGCTGAGCAGCCGTTCGACGGCCTGCGGCAGCCAGACTTGGCCTGTTGGTATTCGGTCCGTCAGACAGCACGATGAGACTCTCACTCGAGATGCGTTGTTCGAGCTGGTCGATGATGGAGCGAAGTTGGTCTGCTTGCCAGCGGGCTCGGGCAAGGGTTGCCGGTCGACCACGGCGTCGATGGATGTACGATTCTGTCGCGCGAAGCAGATGCGCGTGTTTGTGGACGGCGTGGCATACTGGGCACGGCGCCTGGTGAAACCGTGCGGTCAGAATCAATTTGAGACGGCAAGGTCGGCGTTGGTGTTGTGCCTGCGCGCAAGGTTGGAGACGCTGCCGCCACTGCCAGTGGCGACACGTCCAGACGTCTTGATCGTAGAAACACATGGTCGCCGCAGGTAGACAGTGATAAAGAAGGAGGAGAGGAAATTGAAGCTGAGATGAACTGAGATGTCCGGCTCCCAGGAGCGGCCATCGCTGCTTACCAGCAGCGCCAAGCTTGGCGTCCAGCTCCGATGGCAGGTTCGCAAGCGGGCTGGACAGTGCTGCTGGCAGCTCCTCGGCGGCACGCGCCCCGTTACCAGGAGCCCGAGCGGGCGCGCCGTTGGCTACCAGCAAAATGGCCTATTACCGGCAGCTGTTGGCGCAAAGTTGGGCACGCGCCCAGCTACCAGAAACCCCGGCATTGCACGTATGACCTTGGTCGAGGTTACCGGCGCTGCTCGGCCGGGGCTACCAGCAGGCGCTCCAAGCATCCGCGCCGAGGGCCCGGTCATCCCGGACCAGTGCCTAGCTACCAGCAACGGTTGCGGCCTGGTTACTAGCAGCCGTTGGCAAATGCAAAAATTGCTAATAAATCTCACTTCTAAATACAGTACAGCGTCGGCGATGCATTTGCATGTCATCCAATTTAGACACACCAATTTAGACACACTAATTTAGACACAGCTGTGTAAAGCACCGCCTTGCGGGATGCCAGTCGCCTTTTGTCAGGGCGGGGGCGAAATTCAATAGTGGCCATGTTACAGGAGTGGGCGATGCATTTGCAATGACAAGTCCATTATCAATCTACCAATTCAGACACAACCCTTACGTCTCCCACGGAAAAGCACACATTGCCTTCGGTGTCGTAGGTGCTGCTGGTTCACGCGCCTGCTTCGGTCAGCATGCGGCCACACGAGACGACGGACGGACGGACCTCCTCCTGGTCGCGCTTCTTCGCGGCAGCCAGCTCGGAAGCCAAGCGGCGGATCTCCTCCTGGAGGCCGTCGATGTACGCTGTGGACGCCAAGCGCAAGTCTTCGTACTCTTGCTGCCAGTACGTGATGACGCCGCGCAGGTTTTCGCACAGATAGTGGTAGTCCGGCCTATACAGCGGGTGCGGCTCGTCCCACCGGCGTAGGGACAGGCGCACGCCTGGGGACAGAGGCGCGCCCGGGAACGGAGGCACGCCCGTGGACAAATCTCGGACACGCGGGTCGTCCATGGCAGGATGAGATGAAAGGCTGCGAGAACGAGAAGGCGAAGATGCCGAAGC